ACCAGGAGTAGGAGTTTTAGGAAGGGAGGAGGGGAGATAATTTTATCTGGTTTTTAATGAAGCTACGAACCATTACATGGAGGAGATTTCGTGGTGACAGAAATCCCGGGCTCTCTGGCTAAAAGAAGGAGATCGTAACACAAAATTCTTCCACAGATTAACTAATGCTCACAGAAGAAGTAATCGTATAGGAAGAATTCGGGTGGAAGATGTGGAGTTGTGGAGGGAGGAAGAGGTGCGTAACGGGATTGCTTCTTTTTATCAGAAGCTTTATACCGAGCCATTAGTTTAGAGGCCCAAACTTGATGGTCTCCCTTTTGAGGCTATTTGTGAGTTGGATAGAGATAGGCTTGAGAGTCCTTTTACTGAAGACGAAGTTCTAAAGGCTTTATTAAGTTGTAATGGGGACAAAGCTCCTGGGCTTGACGGTTTTACCATGCGTTTTCTGATGGAAAGTTTGGCGGTAGTAAGAAATGAGGTAATGGGTACTTTTCAGGAGTTTCATTTTACTGACGGCTTTGAAAAGTCGCTAAATGGTTCATTTATTGCCCTTATTCCTAAGAAGGGAGGCGTTTCTGACATAAAGGATTTCCGTCCAATTAGCTTGGTGGGCTGTATTTACAAACTTATAGCTAAGGTGCTTTCTCTAAGGATGAGGCAAGTAATGGATGTGATTATCTCGGACTACCAAAACGCTTTTGTTGGAGGATGGCAAATTCTTGATTCAGTTCTTATTGTAGGGGAATGTGTGGATTCCAGATTGCGTAGTGGTGTTCCTGGAGTTTTATGCAAACTTGATATTGAGAAAGCGTATGATTATGTGAACTAGAATTTCCTACCTTATTTGTTACAAAGAATGGGGTTTGGAAGTAAATGGGGGAAGTGGATTGAGACTTGTCTTTCGTCTATCAAGTTTTCAATTCTTGTGAATGGTTTTCGCGCTGGTTTCTTTGGCTGCACTCGGTATATAAGACAAGGTGATCCTTTGTCGTCTTTCCTTTTCCTTGTTGTTATGGAGGGTTTAAGCAGACTCATGTGCAGGGCAGAGGATGTTGGTTTTATTAAGGGCTTCAGGGTGGGTAAAGATCTAGTCCATCAGATGGAGATCTATCATTTACTTTTTGCAGAGTTTTCTGTGATGTTCAGAGTTTTTTGTGATGCTAATGTGTCTCAACTCCGATATTTGAGGTGCATCCTGGCTTGTTTTCAGGCGGTTTCCAGGCTAAAGGTAAATGTGGCTAAGAGTGTGCTTGTCCAGGTAGGGAATGTTCGGGATATTTCCTCTTTAGCTACCGTTCTTGGATGCAAGGTGAGTTCTTTTCCTATTCCTTATTTGGGTTTGCCCCTACGGGTCTCCTCAAGGATAGTGGGGAGTTGGGATTCAGTGATTGACAGGTATGCGAAGAGATTGGCAGGATGGAAGAAGCAATACTTGTCTAAGTGGGATAAAGTTACTCTTATTAAGAGTACATTATCGAGCCTCCCCATTTATTTTCTATCTATGTTCCAAATCCCTTGCTCCGTTGCGGATAGGATTGAAAAATTCAAAGGGACTTCCTATAGGGAGGAAGGGGTGAGGAGTTCAAGTATCACCTTATCAGATGGGAGCAAGTTTGCAAGCCTATGAAGTTGGGTGGTCTTAGCATAAGACGATTAGTTTCTTTTAATCAAGCTCTCCTTGGTAAATGGTTATGGAGATATGGGGGAGAAGGACATCGTCCTTGGCGCAGGTTAATCTCTTGTCGGTTTAGGGAAGTCGTTGGCAGCTGGTCTACACGTCCGGTTTCTCTTGTGGGAGGAGTAGGGATGTGGAAGTCCATTCGGAAGGGATGGGATGCCTTTTCTATTCATATCAGATTCAAAGACGGACGTCGCGTTCGTTTTTGGGAAGATTTTTGGTTTGGTAATCAGCCATTATCTCGTACATTTCCTAGATTATTCAGTATTGCAGTTGATAAACACGCCTATGTAGCTGACTGTTATCGGCTTGATAGCAGTGGGATTACGTGGGATGTGCACTTTTGGCGTTCTTTTCAGGATTGGGAGTTGGATGAGGTATGTGTTTTTCTGGATCTTTTGTATCGGCAGGAGGGTGTTGGCAGAGGTCATGATGATTTGATATGGGTTCCATCTTCCCACAATCGTTTTGAAGTAAGATCCTTGTTCTTATGTCTATCTAATTTTGATAACCGTGACTTCCCGTGGAAGACTATTTGGCGATCCATGGCTCCAACTAGGGTGGCTTTCTTTGTCTAGACCACTGTTTGGGGTAAGATTCTAACGATTGATAACTTGAGGAAAAGGGGCAATTGTATTGTTACTTGATGTTGCCTATGCAAGAAAGATGGGGAGTCAATTGATCACCTCCTTATGCATTGCTCTATGGCGAACGACTGTTGGAATCTTCTTCTTGGGTTGTTCGGTATGCGTTGGGTAATGCCACAATCTACTATGGAATTGATTCATGTTTGGAGAGGATGTCGTGTGAGAAGGGATGTACACGATTTCTGAAGAATTGTCCCACATTGTGTATGGTGGTGCATTTGGAATGAGAGAAATAGTAGAATGCTCGAAGGGAAAGAGTCATCTACGGCAATGTTGAAACTTTACATTCTTCATTTTCTTTTCAATTACGTGAAGAGGAGTTCTTGCTCCTCTTCTGATGATTTAATTATTTTCTTGGATTCTTTGGGGCCTTAGCCCCGGTTCCACTTCTGTATAAGGGACGCGTTCCCCTTTTGAATGCCTTTTTATTTTATTATTACTTATCAAAAAAATTACCGCATTATTAATTGTCTTTTTTGTTGTTGGATGGGGGAATACTGTACATATTTAAAGGAGATTGTTGATCTTTTGGGCTCCTTGGGTCCTTAATTCCCTCTTTTTTCTTTTTCTAGGCCTTGGCCTTTGTGTATTATTGGGATGCGTTTCCCTTTTGAACGCTTTCTAATACATCTTTACTTATCAAAAATATATATATAGAATTCAACTTCAAAAATAAAATAAAATAAAACTTCTTTTGGATTTGTCCTAAAATTTTCAAATTTTTATTTTTGATTTTGGATTATTAACTTAATAAAGTTAAATAAAGCATATAAAATGTTGTTTGAATACTTATCTATCAAAAAAAAAAAAACATATAAAATGCTTTATGCTTTTTTGTAGTGAGATTATTTATCCATGCATGATTCGTACGTCTATCATAGTGAGCCATCAACCAGAATGAGTTTATCTAAATCCATAAATTGGATGAAAATGAAATACAATGCACGTAAGAAAGTTATTTAAGCTAGTTTCATGCACGGGGTTGTTTTTAGTACACAATTTCTTTTTAATTCTTGTTCTCTTTTCCTTTTCTCATTCTTTTTACACTACTGAATCATGTCATCTGCCCTTGAATGAAGACCCCTTCTGCTGACCATCCAATTGCCATCCAGTTCGATAACACATCTTCGATCATCTTCAAATATAAGCAAGTATGATATTTTGCCGATAATGACTATAGAAGATAAAAGTTTCATCTGAAATTAATGAACTCTGACTTAGAATTAGGCAACAAAATGACATTATTTCTCAACAGAGATGACATAGTAGCAGATGGGATAGATGAGAGCATAAGAATGAGATCATCAACATTTATGAATGAGATCATCAATATTTAGCTGTGTTTCCTATTTGACAAAAAAATATATATATATTTAGCCTTGTTTCTGTGAGCCTACTGAATTCTGATGTTTAGAGAGATCTGATCACCATTCGAGCTTTTTGAGAGATCTTCGTCCTTATGTTCTGATATACCCTTCTCTCTTCTGACTTTCAACAACCAACCTACAGCTTTGCTGACTCTTTAGATTAGTTCTGTGAATTCTCTTACAAATATATTTATTTCATGTTAAAAGAAAGTCTCAGTCAACCATCGCAATTCATTAAAAAAATGTTAGCACTTGTCCGAGCAGTGTCAGTTATGTGTCCATAATTGAGAATTTTATATTCGAATGATGAACACGTTCCACTTTGACATGTATCTGATACATCTTCGAAGTTTCATAATTTTAGATATACAATTTTATAATTATGTACACATTGATGAAACTTCTTGAATGTGTGCTCACATTTGATGAAAGAACCTTTAATGTTGAGTGGGACTTTAAAATGCTATTTGTCTAATTGACAGAATTACATAGTTATATACAGCTTTTGAAAAAGGTTAAGATAAACAATGTTGATAAGTGAACAAGAGTAAACTTAATTATACATCACCTCATATTTAGATTCTATAAATTTTTACTAGTAAAACCCACATAAACATACTAAAGTACACAAATAGAAACCAATACCACAAGTTTAGTATATAACCGGAGCATGACCATTACTACTGCTCATGTCTAGTACATCTAAAATCACAAAAATACCTTTGGGCTCTAAATATTGAGAAAACGGATTTATAATTGAGGAACATAGAATAAGAGTTGGTGAATCAAAACATAGTCAAGAGGCCCCTACTCTGGAATCAGATCACTTGCCCCATAACCGGTCTTTTCTTTTTCTTTTCCCCAATTTCATTTTCTTTGAGCTCCTTTTGGACTGCATATGTTCAATAAAGCTTTGCAGCTTGCTGTCTTACTTGAATCTTCTGCTTATGATTTTGAAGTAAAAGCATTTTAAATCACTAAAACAACGCTTTGGAACTTCATTTTAGTTCCCCAAACCCTCATATACTAATGCCTAAATGCCACTATATTATCATATATTGTTATCTCTATACATTATGTTTGATTTCAATCATACATTGAAGTGCTCTTTATTTGCATCAAGTATTCATTATCTATTACCAGCACAATGCTCATAGAATAGCTTAGATGTGGTGCCTACTTAACAATATACAAAAGGAAAATCAAGTCACAAGAATAGCGTGATTTGTTGTTTGTTATTTATTAGGATACTTGATTTTTTTGTGCATTTAGACTCGGTGTTCACTTTATTACCTGCTATATTGTCAGACGGAAGCTATTGACTTGGTTGAACGAATTGGCAAGTCAGATCGAGCTGAGAGAATATTCAGAAGGACAAATCTTGATAAATCAGCGAATCCTTTCATTGACTTAGATGGGCTTCCTTATGTTGGGAAGGTTAACCTTGTATATTTTAGTTTATTTTCTACTCGTGTTCTATTTTTTATAATTGTTAACAGATTGTCTACCACTATCTTTCAGACAATAAATCCGGGTGAACCATATTGTGGCACATATGATGAGGCAACAAGTATGGCAAAAACTACCAAATTGAAGGGTTCAGAGCCTGTTGTTGTTGATTATGTTGCTGTGGACGGTAAAAGCAAAAAACAACTGCAAAAGGTAAACGTTTTTTCCTTTGCCATATGACCTATTTTTGTTGCGGCTCAAGGTTTTAAGCTTCTCTTCCTACATGTATTCACTGCCATGTTAATTTATTCATAACTTATTATGTATGTAAACACCATGCCAGTAATCCTCACTGCCATGTTAATTTATTCATTACTTATTATGTATGTAAACACCATGCCAGTAATCAACCATTTTCACCTCGTACACAACGATTCAAACTATCATCCAAGTAGCAATCCTTGCCGGGATACCACAACCACCTTAAACTTAATACTATCATTAACTATTTCACAACCACCCTCTTTAGTAGTATTGACTAAAACTTCCTAACAAGTATAAAAGTTTCGACTCACTTGCTTAAACTTACTATCAGAGACGCAAATTATAATATCAATGATTAAGTGTTTGAGACCACAATATGTATTAGGAAGATCAATATTCCTTCGTATTCCCATTGAAGTGATTAAATCAACCACATTAAATTTATAGTAATGAAATCTAATTGTCTCAATTTATTATTAAGACCTCCTTTCGGCTGCATCCACTATTTTTATATTCAAATAGTGATCAGATTAATGCACTTAAGATAACACCACCTCAACATTTAACCTTGATATATTAGTCATGGTAGTAGACTACCTTGCTGCCTGCCCTAATTGTACCTAAATCCTGAGTTAGTGGACTACCATACCAAATCTGAGTTCATGTCCCGAAAGGATCTGAGACCTAAGCTGTGATAAATCCTGAGTTAGTGACTGCTATATCGAATCCGAGTTCATGTCCTGAAAGGATCTGATTCCTTAGCTGTGATACCAATTTGTCACACCCCAAAATTTAAATACAAAGTATTTTCTCTTGTACCCAAATAAGGTGTGTGAGCTAACAGATCACCTTCCCCTATTACATTATGGAATCAAGTAACTGTAAAATAATTATACATACATGATTCAATTTAATATAAAATTATATTCGGTCCTCACTACAAAAATCTCTCAAGAAGTAAGAATATGACACAAACCCTAGATTGTTCTCGGTCTTCACCGCCAACTCTACGGCCATCAATTTCCTGAAATGTTGAGAAATTGGTGAGCAGCTATGTTACATGGACTCGGGCACGGGTGTCGGACACGGGTATGTATCCATGCGTCGGACGTGTCAAATCTCCAAACAAAAGGACACATGGACACAGCTAAATATTCATTTTATTAATTATTTTATTTTATTTTTTAGAGTAAAGTAATGTTTTTATCTAATATAATGTTCAATATAGGCATTTAACTCATTTTAAAGTAATAATATAATGTAATTGAATGATTGGATATGCTTTTTATGTACATGTCCAACCAAAAGTGTCATACACATCCCATACCCATGTCCGAGGGATATGTGTACGACACGAGTACTTCACTACTTTTGAAGAGCCCATGTAACAGAGGTGAGCAGACACATGCTCAGCAAGATCCCTGCTCAACAACTAATAACCTCACCTCACCTCACCTCGATATACAACTGTGTTATTATGTAGTGTCACGCGATAATTATTAAATCGTAGCTAATAAACATGTGTTCCCGCTACTAGCTAGCTTCTATGCTCTCTGCTGGTAATTTTATGTTAAGTTAATCCACTTGATTAACTTTTAAATTGAATCTAAATATATAATTTACACTTAAGTCCTCATGTAAGGGATTGCATTCCAAACTCAGTTAAGGAAACACATTAAACCTCATAGGTAAAGAAAAATACATGCAACCACATAGGTAAAGAACATATCCAACCTCTCAAATATAACCTTTTAGGTAAGGAAACAAATCCAACCTCTCAAATGTGACATTTTAGGTAAGGAACAAATCCAACCTCTCAAATATAGCCCTTTAAGGTAAAGAACAAACCAACTTCTTCAACATATTATGTGGGGAACACATCCAATCTTACTTTTGAATGAAAACCAACCAAATGAGGTAGTTATCTTAACTATGTGAGACGAACTCACCTACAAAATATATATATTTATAAATAAATAAAAATTGAATCAAAATATACAATGACTCAGAATTTGATTTTAACTTGTTTCAACTATGTTTTCAATTCTTTCCAACTCAAGTTTGGGCCTCGAATTAACCTATCTAACAATCTCGAAAATGATTCAAACCACTCAGTTGTGATTCTATGCTATGAAACTTATCTAGGATTCTAAAATTGTGCTAAATTGTTAAATACTGTAACCAAATTTCATGCCAAAAAACATGGGTAGCTGGTTTCTAATTTTGGTTAATTCAGTTTCTTGAGTTGCACTTGTATATGGATATCATGTATAGCTTTTAATTCCCTATGGATTTTCTATGCACATCCAGTAGACATCTATTACCCAGTATCCTTTTCAAGCCCATACATTTGTGCATGGATAGGTATGCATATGCATACACTATATCATCAGTGCATATAATATATTCAACAATATTTATTGTTTGAGTTCAATTAATGCACCTGAGTATATCGTCGGTAACCTGATTCACAGAGCAGATCATGATTATATATATATATATATATATATATATATATATATATATAAAAACTATTATGCAGGCATGGAATTTAAATTATGACCTAACCATATTACATACGTGTAGGGGTCTAGATACACATATATGTAGAGTCATGAAATTAGATTCTCCTAAGACTTTTATGAATGTTAGCAAGTGCTTTATAATTCTTTTGATATGTCACATAACAAAGAAGGTAAGATTAAACTTTCCTGGTTCTGCTTCCTTGTTCAATTCCCTTTGTTATTCTAATGTCTTCTCTTTCCTCTCTCACAGTTCTCTTTCTTCCTTCTATTTTACATCTCTCTCAAGCATTCCTGTAACTTGATTGGGGAGTGAGTGTTTCTAACGTGGTACTGTAATCGTTCAGGTTTGACTACATATTCGAGAGAGTGATTAAGGTTAGAGTGGGTTGTGCTTTCCATAAGCAACACAATTAATGTACTAAGATTTATCGAGTGGTTTTAGAGTTGTTTAGCCCTAAATGATTTATATTATATTTATGGCCTTCGCTGAGATATTAGGAGAACATGGTAATGGCTGATGGTTGCAATATTAACGAAATGCATGGCTAAGTTAGTGGGTTGGGTAACGTGGTTATCATGTGAAACCAACGTGAAACATCTTCTCATGTTAATGAGATACATACTAGCCCTTGGAACTCTGTTAAATTTTAAATATATATATCTATCTATCTCATATTCTCTATCAATATAGATATATTTATATATTATTATTTTTGGGTAATTACACTCTCATTATTATCCAAATGCCAGAATAGAGTTATTCTTCCATTGGTTATGTATCGTTGTATTATTAATTTAACTGGTATAACCTAGCCCACAATACAGGACAAAGTGGCAATATGATGGTAGATAATTTTGTAATTATCATTGGCAATATGATGGTGGATAATTTTGTAATTATCATTCTTTGAATACTGATTTTAAATAACTTGTTTGTATACAAGTAAATGAATGACAACTGGGTTACACAACTTGCTCGGAGATCTTTCTTTTCTCTACTTGCCACGGAAAGAAATTATCTTCTGTATACTAGAGTGGAATATGTGGCGTATGCAATTCAGAACTAGTCTGTTATTTATCTTTGTGCATGATGTGGTTGTGTGATCGATTAAAGCAATGCTTCAAATAGATATAATTAATAACTGACTGCCTGGATGTAATGTTAACTGCCAATCCCTTATTTAAGGTTCCTCTAAGGGAGGGGATACCTTAAATGGACTTCATGCCTGTATCAAATTTAGGGGATACCATCAAAATATCCTTTCAGATTGCTAACTTATTTCTGAAATACAAAGTTGTTAAATGATTTAAATTACTCCTTACAAAGGTGAGCTGCGAGCCTCGAGGTATATTTCAAAACATATTTTTGTGCAAATAAGAACTACAGAAAATAATTAATAACAAATAAAATAAGATAGAATACGCCATTGCCCTATTAAAGGCAGTGGAGTGGGTACAAATTTAACATTCACTATTTTTTGCACAATCTATAAGCTCTCAGGCTTTTGTAATTTTATGTTTAAAAGCTTGAAGTTTTTACCAATCCATGACACTCATAACTATTAAATTTTATTTTATATATTTTAGAAGTATAGTTGGATAATTTAACGAAGAAAAACTATTAACTTGTAAGAAAGCCCGAAAGGTGAATTTTGAATTTTTTTTTCTCTATTTTGTTCTTGTCAATAATTTTAACCTCTAACTATAAATATATCCCCTAAATTTGTGGTTGAAATGCTTTTTATGTTGCACTTAAAACAAGTGATTGGGAACTATGGGCTGCTATTTACAGGCATATCAATCTGGCTTCTAAAACCTAACTAATTCTAACCAATTTAGTGACCTTGTCAAGCGTCCTTAAATCAGGTTTCCATGTGTGGGCTATCCATTAACGATAGTATTTATTGTAGCTTGGGCTACTGGAAAAAGCAAGTTAATGCTGTTAGAGCAAAGCTGATGCCTGCGTTATTCAGAAGATAGGAAGAGCCAATCCACATAATCCTCACGGTGAAGCCATATGACAGTCTGTTCAAGTCCATGAGTCAAGCTACATTTTGCCCATATGTGGTCTATGTTTTTGTGCTGTGGTTGCCAAAATATATCCTAAACATCCTCAAAGAGTTAACTAAATGACATTGCTTTTGGCTTTCTCAGACTTTTGCATAATTCAATTCTGTAATATTTATTGGACAACCTCCAGAATAAAATATCTTAGTAGGTTCACCGATTTGACCTTCTATATGTTGGCTTCTCAGATTTAGCACTTTGGTCTTGACTCCTGGGGTTACAGTTGATCGCCTGATGAAAAATAACCACACAAGCTTGGTTTGCTTCTAGCCCTTTAAGCATTCTTTTAGGTTGTTGCTTGATGATTAGACACTGATTTGTTCCAAACCCTGTTTGTTTTTTACTTGGTTATGAATTATTCTTATTGACTTCTCAGGATTGTACATCTCTTTCCACCTGATATTTTGCTTTCATCGTGAAGTGATGACAATCTGTTGTGCCTTGTGTATTATGGATTTACCCATTAAGATAGCCACATTCTTGCCTCCTCTAAAAGTATTTTGGGTCTTTTGTTTCTTGAAACCAGATTGGGGAATGTTCTTTCTGTATTACAGGAATCAAAATCGAATTGACGTTTTTCTCTAGTTGCCATCTTGTGAATTGTTGTTCTATGAAGATTGCTAGTATGTCTAGAACATAAAATTGCAAAAAACAAAACAAAAAAAACAAAGAGAGAGAAAGAGAAACAGTTAGGTGTAACCAGATAAGATACTCGGGCATGGTGCCATTTTTTCATACTGCTTGGCTTTTGCTTTATATGCTTATTATGCTTGATATTCAGCCATGCAACCTTGACCTCTTTCTGAGCAGGTGAACATACGTTTTCGGCACCCCAGAAATCCTGTAATTGGCGATAAATTTAGCAGTAGACATGGCCAAAAAGGTGTTTGTTCTCAGTTGTGGGCAGATATCGATATGCCATTTTCTGGAGTCACAGGAATGCGGCCAGATCTTATTATCAATCCACATGCATTTCCATCAAGAATGACAATTGCAATGCTTTTAGAATCTATTGCCGCTAAGGTACTACTAATAAATATAACTTTGTTTAGTGGCTTTTTATTTTGCTGCATATGGTGATTGCTTTGAATTACAATTGATCCACTAACATTATAATTATTTTTATCTTATCATTGGATTATATCACACACTTTATATACTTGTAGAAAGTGGTTTCTATATATTCTTAATCAGCCATGTGATTTATTACAGTTTGAAACTTATTGATACTGCAATTTTTTTTTTTTTAGATCACATTTATAAGCACAATTATCAAACCCGGAGTGGACATTGCCAATTCATGACAGGTCAATTGGTATATGGTTCAACTGTTTGGTAATATGGTCAAAATGTGAAACTGAAATCAATAATTGGAAATTATAAAATTGCATATGAAATGTAAGTGTACGTAAATTTGTTGGGAAAATTTAGTTTTACGTTCAGCACTACATATCTCAAAAATATAAAATAATAAAGGAAAAAAGGAAGAAAGAATGCACATGCTTCTATGTTACTAAATTAATACATAATATATGTTTTAATATTTTTTATTGTAATACATGTATTTTTGTTAATTTATTTACAACGTTAGTCTCAGTAAAATATATATATATAGATATATATTTGTGTGTGTGTGTGTTTCTGTCTTTTCTGGGGAAATTGTTACAAAGTCAAATTGCCTAAATTTTGATGCAATGAAATTGTGTATCAATATAACACACCTTTCTTGGGGTTGTCATCAACATATGGAATTACATTGTATGCATTATGTTTTCTTATTTAGATTAATATACGTTCGCCCACCCAAACTATAAGTTCACATTTCATTTTTAGGATGTTCCAGAATACAAAGCCCCTAAGCAAGATTCCTCCCCATCAAAAGATCTTTTATTCCGCTCCTTCCATAAGCACCACCAAACACAAAGGGAAACCGCACTCCAACACTCACGGCGTGGGCCCCCACACTGCAACCTCGCCAAGCATCAATCAAACCCCTCGAGGATCGAGGCATAACCCATTGGACGCCGAAAAGACCAAAAATAAGGCTCCAGCAGTCGTGGGTTACAAGCCAATGCAAAAGAAGGTGATCCACGGACTCGCCATTCCTATTGCACACACAACACCAATTGACTGTAATATGTCTTTTCTTTCTCAAATTATCCAGGGTCAAAAGCTTGCCCGAAACAGCGGTCAAGACAAAGAAGGCCACTTTGAGGGGAGTCTTGGAGCACCAAACCGTCTTCCAAGGGAAATTAGGACCGTGAAAATCAAAGAGACAATGGAAAAGGGTACGGACTCGAATCTCCCCTAAGAGGAAGGTGCCCAAACCAGAGAATTAGTGCCACTACCATCCACCTCTTGTCCATACAGTAGCTCTAACAAACCAGAAACCTCATCTAACTCCCACTCCTGAAAGGAACGCCAAAAACACACATCCCACGTGAGCCTACTGTTATCGAGCCAATAACAGTCGGCCACCAAAGCATGTCTATCCACGGCAATCTAGAAAAGTTTGGGAAAAGAATGAGCCATTGGGTAATCACCACACCATAAATCCTCCAATAACCAAACACCCCTGCCATCCCGTTCTCTGAATCTGATATGTTTAGAAAATTCATCCCATCCCTTTTGAATGAATTTCCAAACACCCACGCCTCCAGCGAGTTTGACCAGATCAAAGGGCCACCCACCTCTATGCTCTCCGTAACAATACACAACCACCTTCCTCCAAAGACGATGGCGCTCAGTTCTGATTCTCCACAACCACTTACCCAAAAGAGCCTTGTTGAAATAGGCCAACCTCCTAATGCCCAGACCTCCCAACAGAATCGGCCTGCACACTTGATCCCAACGAACAAGATGATACTTGAACTCCTCCCCCCGTCCACCCCAAAGGATGTTCCGTTGAAGTCTATCAATCCTTTCAGCTACAGAGAAAGGAATCTGAAAAAGAGAGAGGAAGTATGTTGGGAGACTCGCTAGCGTACTCTTCATAAGAGTAACCTTCCCACACTTCAACCATTCTTCTTTCAAATCGCTCAATCACAGGATCCCACCCTCCTCGACGGAGCACCCAACGGCAAACCCAAATAGGAGATAGGAAAAGAGCTCACCCCACGCCCCCCCCCCCCCCCCCCCCCCCCCCAACACACACACACACACACACAGAGGGACAAGCATGCTCTTTCCTATATTAATTTTCAACTGACTGAAAGCAAATCAAGACAAACCTCAAGACTCAAGTATCTCAACTGGACACATCATCATCACAGAAAACCAAGGTATCATCCACAAACAGTAAATGAAAGATCTCCATCTGATGACCCGAGTCTCTACCCACCTTGAAGCTCCTGATAAAACCAAGATCAACTACCATTCTCAACAACCTACTAAGAGCCTCCATAATAATAATGAATAGAAACGAAGATAGAGGATCACCCTGTCTCAAACCCCGAGAGCTGCCAAAAAAGACCCGTAGGAGACCCATTCACCATAACAGAGAACTGAGGAAGTACATGACTCAATTCACCTCCTCCATCTCTCTCAACTTCCTAAGCAGATACAACAGGAAGCTCCAACTAACATAATCATACACCTTCTTGGTATAAAGCTTGCATGGAACTCCTGGGTCACCACTGGTCAGCCTAGAATCCCCACACTCGTTGGCAATAAGAACAGAGTCATGAATCTGCCGACCACCAACAACAGCGTTCTGGGACTCTGATATAACACCATCTAGCACCTCCCTCATTCTTAGAGCAATGACTTTAGCAATAAGCTTATAAATGTACCCCACAAAGACTTATTAGTCTAAAATCCTTAACATCAGAAGCTCCGCCCTTCTTAGGGACGAGGGCAATGAAAGAAGCGTTCAACAACTTCTCAAACCGCCCGTGAGAATAAAACTCCCGAAAAGTGCCCATAACCTCACTCCTAACCACATCCCAGCTGATGTCACTAATTATCCCTGAAACATCTTTTACCATTTCCGAATGACTCAAATGTAGAATAGTGTTTAATAAAACCATATTCCAACTGTTGTCCCATGAAATGCACATCAAATTATTAAGCTTTGCTCTGATTACTGTGTTTTCTGAAAATGAGTCTATTTTGAAATTTCTTTTAATTTTCATTTAGAATATTCAAATGTTTCTCCAACTTTGATATGCTTAGCATCAACTGTACGGCCATCATTATGTCATAATCTTGATATATCTTCTGACATTGACTATTTAAATCGTAGTTGTATATTTTTCCAAAGTTTAATTCAGCTTGACCATAGATGGTTGGTTGATGGTTGTGCATCAGTCTATCTAGCCATACTTTATCATCTTTTGTGGAGATAAATTTTAGTTAGTGACAGATCCTGGAAATTGAAAATTTAGATAACCTTTGGATGCAGCTTACCAAGGAAAACAAATCCAATTGTGGCGCTCGTAGTAATTTATCCTTGTAACAATGGCATGGGAATTTGTAACCAATTTCTACTTTTGTGGAAGTTTTTTCATGAAATTCAATTAGCGTTGCATCTTTACATAAAAAATGTTTATGTTACTTGAATCATGTTATAGGGAGGCTGCTTACATGGAAAGTTTATGGATGCAACACCTTTTGCTAACTCAGTGAAGAAAGCTAATGACGAGTCCAGTTCACTTGTTGATGAGCTTGGCTGTATGTTAACCTCTTGTGGGTTTAATTACCATGGTTTAGAGGTATTATACAGTGGAGTTTATGGGACAGAACTAACATGTGAGATTTTTATTGGGCCTGTTTATTACCAGCGTCTCCGGCATATGGTATCGGACAAATTTCAGGTAAGTGCTTTTTCTTGGAAACAATAATGATGATGATATATCTTTTATTCTTGTCTTGCAATGTTCTTCAAATCGAACGTGGGACCAAGTTATCTATTTAAAACTTGCTATAAATATCTCGATATTGATTTCTTTTTGGCAAAGTGTGAACTTTAGGCACTGTATAGTGATTAGATGGTTTTTCATACATCGGATTTGTTTATCATGGTTTTTTATCCATTATCCAATATAGTTGAATTTTTTTTTTTTTTTTACTAGTTTCACCCAAGAGGACTCGAACTTTAGACCTGATGCTTCCTAAGGCTGTTCTTACCCACTTGAGCCAACCCCTTGGGGTTAGTTAAATAATTTTCTTGTTGCATCCTAGAGGAAACCGGAAATACATGTGCCAGCCATAGATTGTCACCCTAAAAGATTAATAAATGATTATGGCAACCTATTTTACCAGATTTGGGTATTGATTTCAGGTATAGTAAGCATCAAAAGGGTGGACTTTCTTAATCATTAAATTTTAGGGTGCGGAAACTCAACGAAAGTGAGTTTAAACATTGGGTACAGGGACAGACACATAGAGCACTCCCACATTCATGTCATATATTATATGATAATAGCATTGGGTTGTTTTAAAGTGAAAATGGAGTATAAGTCTGAAAATACAAAATAAGTTATGAAATTTTCATTTACTACTCAGCATTACTATCAGAAAGTTGCAAAATAAGTATGCATAAGGGTTTTTTCATCAAAATAATCAGCTGAGTTGCAAAATAAGTATGTATAGGGTATTTTGTTATACTGTGTTGTGTCTGTTCAATTGTATAGCCAACCAGAGAACTCGTGTGACCGCTCTTATACTGTATTATGCATCTTCAGCTGGTCAATTTGTTTGTAAACAAATCAATGTTGGTCTTAATTTGAACAGTTTAGTTGATAGCCAGTTTGATATCCATTTTTTTTTTACCATTTTGGTAGAAATCCTGGTCATTTTAGATTGGTTATTGAAATTAACTAACACTCACTTTGGTCTGCAGGTTAGATCCACCGGAACAGTTGATCAGATTACCCGTCAGCCTATTAAAGGGAGAAAGCGAGGTGGTGGTATTCGTTTTGGAGAAATGGAACGAGATTCCCTTCTTGCTCATGGGGCTGCATATTTGTTACATGACAGGCTCCATACATCTTCTGATCATCACATTGCTGATGTGTGCTCCCTCTGTGGAAGCATCCTGACAACGTCATTGATTCAGCCACAAAAGCGACCAGTGAAGGAAATTCGAGGGCTGCCACCCGCCAGAGTCCCAAAAAAGATTGTTTGCAATGCGTGCAAAACAAGTAAAGGAATCGAGACGGTTGCAATGCCTTATGTCTTCAGATATTTGGCTGCGGAACTAGCAGCTATGAATATAAAAATGACTCTCCAACTAAGTAATGGAGCAGGAACTTAATACCCAATGCATGCAACTCAAGACACGATTACATCTTGATGGAAAGAAGTTGCCAACCTAAGATATTGTGATTAAGCTGGTTGGAGGAGGATCCTGGAGGGCCAAGAGTTTTGTTAATGGGAAAAAAAAAAAATATATATATATATATATATATATATGGAATACCCTTAGATGCAGTGATCTTTTGATGTAGCTATCCTTTGAAAGAGACTCGGTTCTTCAAATACAGAGGCAGATAGGGAAGAAGACTCAGTTCTGCAAATACTGAGGCAGACTTCATGCCGGGTCATTTTTGACATTTTTTTCTTCCATGTAGTGGTTATTTTAAGTTGTCCATCGCTTTTCTCAGTTTTGTATCACTGTTTCTCCACCCTCCTATATATTTGTTCTTTTTTAAACTGCTTTCGGCATGTATTATCTTTTTGGCCGATTAGGAAGCAACTTCTGCTGTTGTAGTCCCTCTACATTTTCATTTAATAAAATGTAAAAGTACTAATTTAAACAACGTCCAAATGAACACCTCTGATAAAATTAAATAGGCGAGAGAACAGTATGTGGATTACTGCATACTAAGCAGTGAATAACGAACCCTCCAAACTTTCTGATACCTTGTGATGGCACATCATTGGAAGTGGGATTTATTATACTTTTAGTGGTATTATTTTGTAGCAGACTAGCAGAGGATTATTTGTTTTTGTTTTTGGGAGATAATTAGGCTCAGAAGCGTACAGGAGGTGGTTTTGGTTTTGGTTTTCTTTCCTTTTCTGATAACAGGACCCAACCTCCAATTTCATTATAGGACATAAAATGTTAGTAGTTGCTTTACCCATATAATACAACTACTCGAGCCTTTTTGCCATTTTCATTGTTTCTTTAAGAAGAGTCAAGATCATATGCAACAGTTATAACAAGACAAGACATTGCTATACCTATAAGCTTTGTCAATGATGGCCTACTACCAATTGCTCAAAAAGCTTTGGTTTTAATATAGACATTAGAGTACCAATTGCACTAAAAGCTTAGACAGTTTTGAGAGAGTTGCAACAAATCCACTCTAATGGCATCCAAGAGAAGCAAGCATGATTATGAGATGAGCTAATTTGAACGATTCCAAAAACCAAACACATTCATTCCTAGTGACCTGAAAGTTCCTCACTCGGATAACCAAAGCTCTGGATCATTTTCAAGTTCAGAAGAAGAGCGTGGTGCGAACCTTTGTTTGGCCAATCGGACAGTCATGGAGGAACCAACTGATGGAGAGCAAGTCGCTTTTCTATCAAAGGTGGCCCCCCAGTTGTCAAGAAGAATAGAATGGCAAAGTCGCTCATTCCTAGTGACCTGAAACTTCCTCTCTCAGATAACCAAAAGCCCAAAGGCAGAAAACAATTCCAGTATTTCTCTCGAGTTATATCACCAAACTAATTGCCAAAATGGCAAGACACCACACAACTTTAGCTCTTCTCCCGATCAAAACTACCAAAGGGCATCATCATCGACCAAAAAAAAAAATTATACGAATATCGTAATTCCCTGCTAATGATCTATACAATAACCAATAAGAACTTTAACAATGATGATTGGCTATTTCACATCTACTCTTACACATAGCTAACATGTTAGTCAAGGACTCTACACTGGAGCATCTCACTGTTATAATATTTCACAAATGAGGAAAGCAAACCCACAGGGGAATTCTCCTTCTTTCCCGGCGGTAGAGGCTGACCCTGCTAGGCTGATCCCAACTACGAAGATGCAGCCACCGACCTCCTCCTCCCCCCCAGTTCCCCATTGATCACTAACTGGAATCACCATAAATGGCACTTAGATGAGGAGGGAGTAATCATACCAATGGGATGTGGATCTTATCTTGAAAATTCCACATGGCTTCCTTATACTATTCAGGGCTTAAGTCGCTTTGTCTTAACACCCAAGTGATCGAAGGTTCTGCTCTATGGAAAAAGAAAACCTAGGCCTAAGCCAACAATTCTTGACATCTCTGCCTTGACATTTTCCTTTGTCAAGAAGGTCTCTCCTCACTTCTAAATCATTCTACACAATCCAATCAACTTAGTGGCATATCCCTTGGTGGCGATAGTAGGTTAGTGTTGCCGTGTACTAAGCACAGTACTCTATCGGAAAGGCGGATGCAAGTTGATTGAATGGGCCTTATTGCACTCTTGCAGAGTATATGGAATTTGATCAAAGTCTCTTGCTTTACTTGATGGTTTAATTTTTTTGAATCCCTGGCAAGGGTGATGGCCTTTAACTCCCTTTATTGAGTCAGTTGATTAAGGGAATTCCCCCAACAAACCAGAGCCCCCACTTTTGGACGAACCTTAGCTTCCAACTCAATTTAACTGGATGAATAAAGAAGAGACAGAAAATCTCAAAAATGAGATAAAGATGGAATACGCTTTGCTTCCCAAACACCAAATAACATTTACCAATAATGGAGATAATCAAATGACTATCACTGAAAGCAAGATGTAGGGAAGCAATATTTCTCAATAATTTGAATTTCCGAAAAGATTAAAGAGAACAAACATAAGTGATGATACCATTGAAACGAACCACGAACCTAGAAATACTAAAGAGCTGAGATAAATATTCTTTCAAGGCCAATCTCATGATTATTCCTATATTACAAAGAAACTCATTCTAAAGTCTCTCGTAGCTATATTGGCATCCCCCTAGTGTGCCTTATACTGAATGACATGCTTATGATCACCAAGACTCAAAATCATACTGTTTTACTTATTTATTTGTTTATTCTTAGAAATTCCCACAACCACTTGTGCTGGTCCTTGTTCCTTAGAAGCAAATCAGCATGTGCCCCAATCAAGCTTCGTTGTTAAGGATACGTACAATGTTCGACCTTATTAAGAATGATCCCTACTGGACTTCCCATTCAGAAATCATGAAGATTCCGTAAAAAGAGAGAGAACACAAGTGGCTAAGGTGGCAATGCAAAAGCAAACCAAACAATTCATAGGCTTTATTCCACCTCAAGTTGCTTAAACACCACTAGAATCAAAAGCAAAGCACCTCTTAGGTTGCCTTCTAATGAAAAGTTGACAAGTTTAACAACTATAAATGAGCCCCACAACAGGAAATTTTCCTCAGGAATTAACACCCGTAAGAGTGCTCTAATGCTCTTAATCATATGATTTGTATTGAGCTAGTGCCATATGAGTCTTGAAGTCATTCAAGGTTGTGCAAGACAAAACTCTATTTTTCCCACTCAAAAGAATAGTGTCATCAGAAGTAAGAAATTTAATTCCTACCCTGTCCCAAAGTTACCTATTGACTTCAAATTCTCAACTCTGCTAATCATCCTATTGAGGACGTTAGACACCAGAATGGACAGTGAATAGGAAAGGAAAATGAAGATTACCTCTTAGCACTTAACCTAAGCTAACCCCTTTGCTTAATCTTATATAAGAATATCGAATTTTATATGTATTTAAGCACCCCATTGCCAACATCATTCAGTAACATCCAAAACCTTCACACTGATGATAAAGAAATCTCCATCCACATGGCCCTCAATAAATCTTTTCAAAATTACCACGAATCAAAACCTTCCCTATTGGAGTTCCTTCTCTCTTTTACAAGTCCATTGGCAATCAGGACAACACCCAACCTACCTTCAAACAGACGCCCATTGAGAATGTGCATCAGTGTGGTAGATCACAAAATGACAGCTCCAGCAGAGCACTATAGCAATACTAACTTAGAAAGACCAATCTCAGGGCAAATAAGTCCCTCTTTTCTTTGAAAACAAAGAAATGAAGGTCTAAATTCCCATCCCGCTGTAGTCTGAAGCTGCCTGTTGAAATTATAGTATTCTCGTGTTTCTTCAGAAAGTACTTAATAATTGAGGCATTTAATTTGGCTTGTAATACCGCTATTTCCACTCAAAGAATGTGAATGCAGAAGCACTCAACTCCCAAGAAAACAATTACAAAAATCATAGTGGAAAGAAAACTCTACTCTGTTGACAAAAGCTCTGTGAAGGTAAATTCTAAAACACTGTAGGCTTCATTTTATCGCAAACAAAATAATGGGAAAGCTTCAAAATTTTGTAAAAGGCAAACCCAGATTCAAGAATTAACTAAGAACTAGCCTAAGAGCTGTATTATCTTTAGATTTTACTGTTTTCTTCTATTTTTAGGTTTTAATCAGAGGTATGTTGGTGATTTTTCTTTCCAACTGTAGTATAGGCTGGCATGAATCAGCTTTTGTTAACTGGTTATATTTTACAGTTGGGTCATATAAAGGGTCTAACGGGTTTTTATAAGTCCAAACTTCCAGATTTGTTTAACCACACCTAACTATTTTTTTATCCAGGCTAAAATCGTTTGTTAATTTATGTTACGCCGTGGTTCTGAAACAATGAATGAAGAAATCTATTGAGCCAAAATGTGATATGTGATGACTTCTTCAAGTTGTCAAATTTCCAAAGTCATTACTTGCTTCATCATCATCATCCCTGCCGCTATCCCATATAGGTGGGGTCGGTCACATGAATTCTCTTTTTCCATCTTTCCTATTATACACAATGTCTTCTCTTAAATTTAAATTTTTTGAAATCGTTTTTAATTACTTCATCCCAAATAAGCATTGGTCAGCCTCTTTGTTGTTTGCCTTCTAGGCAAACAACTCTTCTTCTTTTAAGAGGTGCATCATCGGGGCTACGTTGAATTATGACCATACCACCTAAATTTACTTTTCCTAATTTTATAGGCGCTATAACCCTATACCTAAAGTTCTCCTCACACGTTCATTATTTAATCTTATCTCTTCTAGTTATTCTTATCATCCAATGTAGCATCCTCATTTCCACTATATGGATGCATTATGTTTGTGTCTTTTTCAACACCCAACACTCCCGCTCCATACAATATTGTTGGCCTAATAACCATTCTATAGAATTTTCTTTATAATTTATTTGGTATTTGTTTGTCACAAAGGATACCACTAGCTTGCCTCCATTTTGTCCACCCCCCTCAAATCCTACTTGCTACATCACCGTCTATCTCCCCATCTTTTTAATATTGATTCTAGGTAACGAAAGTGATTATTTTGAGTAACACTATAGTCGTAATATTTATATTGTCGTCATTGTCTATGTACACCAACCTTGCAAGTGAGGTGGTGGGAAAAAAAAGGAACATTTAAGAGAAGATGTAAGAGAGGAAAAAAGGTAGTGAGGTTACCAAATACCTCTAAGGGTTTAGATATCCATTGATATAGAAAATAATATAAAATTTTCTAACTTAAAAACATTTAATCAGAGCATAAAGAATTGAAGACTATAGATGATTATCAGTATCTGTACGAGTTCAAGTCTCAAGGCTTAGATCTATCTCATGTCATCCCTCCGAAGACCCTGTTGTGGCAGGACTTGGACTGGGTGGTCCTGAACATACCTTCCAAAGAACTAATTAGCAAGTTCAAGAAAGCTCATGGGCTACTTCGTGAAAACGCTACTAAAGAAAACTACTTGAGTAATTCGCACTATGAATCAATGGAGCAATAAGGAACATCATCACAGACCTAATTAACTTAACCAATTTTTTCTTTCTTCTTTCTTTTTTTAAGAAAGTAAAACTTCCATTAAGAGGCACCAAAAAGTCATGCAAATCTTGAACATGCGAAGTGCACTGAAGATAATCCTTTCATGACCCATAATCTGAGCTAGAATTCTTCTCCTAGAAAATAAATGAAAGAACTAGTGAGACGAAGTCCTTCCTTGAGAGCTACGCTGCAAAGAACAACATACTGAATAGTTAAGCTTATGGACTAGAAGCTCCTTTCCTTCACGTGTCAACCTATTTATTCCTTGCACCTAAGACTTCGAGGAGTCGTTATCCTTGCCATCAAAAGCAACTCATATTTCTTTGTTTCATACTCTTCTTTCCACTGATATCATTTATTGTTTTCTTTTAAAAAATAAATAAAACGAGATAGCAGTCAAATCCTCAAGGCTATGGGCTATTGTGCTAGGGGTGATGATGAAAGAATTAGCAATAGAAAGAACAAGAAAGAAATTGCCCAAACTTATGCCAGTGACTAGCCCAAAGCTTAAACATAACTTTCATGTAAAAATTCCCAAACTTACCTCAGAAGAGAATCTCACATTATCTTATAAGAGTACATATTAAAGGAGTAACCTATGAGACTTTTAAATTCCAATAGAAGATATAGGGCTATTTTCAAGAGAAGCAAGAAGGTAATTCTGAGACAATTAATACACTTAGCCTAAAAAAAAAAAAAAAGTAATCCCCCCCACACACACACACCCAAAAAAAAAAAAAATTTACAAGCAATAAATACAAGGGGACAAAAATTAGTTTGCACCTTTCACATAAATATCTTCTGCATAAAAAACATTTCCAATAAATTATCAAATTAAACTCAAATCTCCTGGGAACATAACCAACCCTAATGAGAAGTAACAAAGATAGGATTTATGAAGGAAAAAAAGTAACAAGATGGGAAGTTGGAACATGAACTTTTACACTAAAAAATTAAAATGTACCAGTAACTATTATAAATTATTGAACATGGATGCAAAACAAGTGTTTTCACCTAAACATACATGTATTCACCCCCACGAACGGCATTTGCAGCCCCTCTCTTCTCTTCCTCGGCCTCTTTCTCCCTCTCCTTCCAACTTTCATAGGCATGATCATCAGTTAGCAGTTCGTGACGACAAATAGGACAAGAATTGTGCTCATCCTGCCACAAGTAGAATTATGTTTCAATGGTAAAAGAATCTAGTTTAAATTAATTGTTTATTCATCACAAAGCCCTAGAAAATTATCATGGGATGGGAGCAACAGCATATAGATCCATAAGAAATGCAAGCAAAAATATTTTGGTGTTTCACTAAGAAGTCAGTTATGGTATATTACCAGCCATGGCTTAAGGCATGGAGGATGAAAGGTGTGCTGGCAAGGCAATTCTTGCATCTTGTCGCTCACAACCAAGTTCTCCTTGCAAATAGAACACTCTGCATCTGGTCCAAGCTTGGCGAAGATTTCTTCTGTAATAGTAACAACAGGAAGGTTTGCCACCACTTTTTTACTGGCAGGTGGTGCTCTTGGTGCAACATGACCATCCTCCAGAATCTGAGAGCAAAAAGGAACTTGCATGAGATCATCATTAATTTCTATATTCAACTCAATAGGAAACAAAAGCCAATTCTCCTTTTCAAACCAAACTTCTAGCTATTCATTTTTTAATATCAAGAAATACAAAAGGTGGAACTTCCAGAAAATTTTGAGTGTTAAAAAGAAACTGAGAAAAGAAAGTAAAAAATACCAATGGGACATCACTATCAAGGCTATCTATGAGCACTTGAAGTAGATTGGTAGCACTTTCTGATGTGTTACTATTTCCATCTTGACCTTGAGAAGATTGAGCTGTGAACAGAGTTGCAGCGGTTGTTAACAGGTTTGATTGCACCAGCCATTGAGGCTGTGGAGGCTCAGGATCCACGGTGAGATGCCCTTCGAAAAGGAAGCCTGAACCAATATATATAAAGAGATGTAAAATAGAAAGTGTCAATTCCAACTTTTCTAACCAATGGTAACGTCAGTATAGTAAATTGAAGGATGCTGTACTAAAAATATTGGGAAGGAAATGGTGATCGACCTCTGTTTCCTCTATTTTGTTCAGCTTCGGAAACATCAGACTGAGTTTCCAAATCACGCAACTGCTCCTTAGCTTGAGCAATGCAACTCCGCAATTGTTCTCTTTCAGACGACTCGGACACCATCTGCTCAGCCTCCACGAAAAGCCCCATCCCAGTAACCCAGAATCCAGGAGCAGTGTATCTTGTCCTCAATACAGTTGCAACGCGACATACAACAGAATAGAACTGCAACAATGTTCAGCAAATGAGTCCCCACTACATGATGGCTATAATTTTTTTTCTTTCTTCTCTTTTTACCCGACTCAAAACCTTGACATAGAGCTTGGGAATTAGACCAGACATGATGCCTATAATTAGAATATGCACCAAAAATTTTCTAACAATAATTTATTCTTCAATTCAATTCCCGAGTCCAAGAAAGAAAATGGAAGAAAAAAAGAAAAAAGAAACATTTCAATTCAACCCTTTTAATGAAGTACTATAAGAACAATTGAGTGCAAGATCATATATTCATATGCAATTATTCTATTACGACACGAGAAATACAATTCTGTGAAGTGAACCCTTTTTACAAAGATAAAAACCATTGCATATAAAAAATAAATCGAACCCAACTGCAAAACAATTGAACATCCATCCCGATCCATGAAATCCAACCGAAGACTAACAATAGCAGTACTAAATTTCATAAACAAAATAATGGGAAATCGATATGAAGTGATTTAAAATTTTGATGAGGGATTAATAGGGTTTTACCAATTTTTGGAGAGACGGAGAAGCAGAGGGATAGCTTTGTAGGAGGAGAGACTTGATGGAAAAAACTGCTTGCTCGAAAATTTGTTTCTTTCCCAGCTGTTTCTGCAAACCTTCCAATTTCTGTCTCAATTCATCCTCAGACGCCATTATTCCCCTTTCTTTCCTTGCGATCCACTATATATATATATATATATGGTAGTTACAAGAACTTATTCTAACGATAGAAATTGTCAATGTTTATTCAGCTTCCTCTCTCCTTTCTCTTCTATTCTGCTCTTTCTTAGCCCTTGTTTTCTTTTTATTCGCTTTGCTTTTCTTGGAGAAAAGGAAATCATCTCTTCGTACTCGGTTTCTTCTGCTAACCGCTTTCCTTATTTTGGATTTAAAAATAAAATAAAATAAATAAATAAATAAATAAATATATATATATATATATATATATATATATTTTCATTTTGAAACCCTTGCTCTTCTTAGGTTAAATTACACTACCTCCTGAATAACTTTTTATTATAAATTTTCATATCAATTTATATTATTAAATTTTATAAAAAAAAAAAAAATTAATGATATTTGATAAGGTATCTTTTTAGAGTTTGATTAGGTCTATTCTTTAAATTAAAAAAAAAAAAAAAACTTAAGTAAGGCAATATATATTGTTTACAAGATGAAAAAAATATAATAAAGTATTTTAATTTGACAATTTTATTATTAAATTAGATGAAAGTATGAAAAATATTTCACACTGTTAGAGAGGTAAAAGTAACAAAAGTCGAATGTTCTATTTGTGTGTAATTTACCCAGACTTCACGAAAGATCAGTATAATTCATCATATAAAATATATGTCCCAAAAATCTGAGAAGTATAGAAGAAGTGATAAAAGAATCTTACAAATATGACTTATTATTGTTAAGAAAAAAAAAATTTTAATTTCAATTTTTGGATATATTTAGGAGTATAGACATGTATCTCCAAATATCAAGGAGGGTTGATATATTATAATTTTTTTTTTTTCTTAGCAAAAATTTCATACACCAAGTTCCCTCGTCGAACTTAAACCATCAATTTTCTATTTGTGAAGCGAGGAAATACCACTGAATTACTACCATGCACCTTTAATACTTGATTATCTGTGCCATCATAATTTTTCTGTAATTTTAGGGGGGCAAAGTGAAAATTTTAAAGGTATATAATTGAAAATAAGAAAATTTAGTGGTATATAATATTAAAAATAATAAAAATAAAAAATCAGTGGGGTTAATGTATCCCTGTTTCTGTTTCTGATGTTACGTATGTAAAAATGTTTTATTTTAGTGGCAAACAACCCTTGATAAGAAGGGTTGATATTCCACAAAAATACAATAAGAAAGTAAAGTATCTGAATGTATGTGCTTTACTAGATTTGACCGTTAGAGAGGTCTCAATAACAAATTCTAAACCTTAAAAGGAGGTGCCACTCTTCAACTAACAAGATGTGCAAGTGTGATTTCAACAAACTTCAATAGTGTGAGTAAAATTTACCCTCAAAAGTCTTTTTATTTGTTTTTCATTTTTTGCAATTAGAAAAATTATTTAAAGCTTTAAGTAGTAACATTAACTCGTGATACCATTCGAAAAAAAAACATTAACTCAGTGATATTTTTCACAAATTTGAGCTATCTACTTTGAACTCTACTCACCATCTTTTTAAGCTTTGTGAGGTCCCTCCATGCTGTGCTAGAATATTTGATCATAGCCCCCAAATTCAATGAGAAATTATTAAATTGTCTAGAACCGTGGTTCAGATCAATCAAAAGCTAACACGCAATTAAAGGTGTAATATTTATTCAGCTTTTTAAATTGTATGTCAATTGTTGATTGGTCGGGACCACTTTATTCTGGACCATCTAATAACTCTCTCACACACAATAAGAGGGAGTACCCCCACTCATATTCCGTGCTAGTTCTTTAAACCCTAGCTTCATCTCTATTAAATCTGCTTGGCTTGATCAATCAGTCATGAACATGCATGCAGGTGTCCATTACACATGCATGTCGTCTTTGTACCTCTTCCATTTTTTCTTTGTAAGAAACGTAGTTTTTTAAGTTGAAACTATATATATACCTTTAAACGAAAATGATTCAATTGCACACCGGAAACTTTTTCACTTTTATGGTGACCGTTGGATCTAATGCAATTGAAAAAAATAGTCACCAAAAAAACCTAGCAATCTTATTCAACAATCATTATACTTGGTATGAAAAAAGTTTCTTAATCGTCTTAGTTTCTTGCTCACCGGGGCATGCAAGAGATGATTTTCTAACATTTTATAATTGGACCTCCTTTTTTTCCCCTTGTGCCATTCATTAGTTTTTCAATTTTACTTGTTCTTATCTCTGTTTAGTCATATTTAAATTTGTTTATCCATTTCAACATGTGTGCTTCCAAGTTACTTTCAGCTGATCCATTAAAGCTCACTACAGATGCACCTGATCTTCAGAGTTGAAGCTCACGACTCTCATCATATGTATAGAATCAATGCTATGAAAAACTAGACCTTAATTTGAAATTAAATAGAGTTTGAAAAAGTTGATTGGTACTTTGTAGCTTTACATTTGTTTACCGTGTCTTATGTGGCCTAAGTTATCCCAATTTCAATCTGATTTGCCTTGCTGACCAACACAAAGAAAGGGACAAAATTCTTGAGATTAAAAGATGCCTGAATCATTTAAAAGTGATACATATGAATTGGTGAACGAAAATCCAATTAATACACACAATAGGCATTCAAGCACATTGCAGACACCAAAATCAAAGGTATTAGCAAAGACGTGGCAAGGAAAGGTTTCAAGATGGCGGGTCCCACCATAGTTCAATATTTCATGCCTGGCTTAATGAAAGATCGGCCGGTTACTTCTCAAAAGCACAGTGGCGGCGACATACAATTTTCCTCCTGAGCTTTGGCCATTCCACGTAAAGTAGAAAAATAATTATAATATTGATGTAATATGGCTTCTTATGAGCTTGAACATATTTAAGCATCATCCTCCGGATCAGTCAAGTAATTTACAATTTGCAACGAAATTTGTGGACGAGTTCTTTTTTAAGCGGAAGGAACTGATAATAAAATGAGTCATAATCTAATTGATTTAAAAATTGAACAAATTAGAATGCGGAGCAAATTGTGTACATAAAGTACTGAATGCATCAATCAATATTTATGTTTTGTATAATTGTATTTGTTATTTATGCATCAATCAACCTTTTGATTTTAACCACCCCATATTATCTATTTTAACTGATGATTTAATTATTTCTGCATTCCCTCTGTGGCATCTTTAAGTGTCCTTGGAGCCTTTTGGATGTTTAAGAAGCAATTTAGAAAAAATGGCAAGGATTGTACAATATAATACTAGTTTAAGTTGTTTGACCTTTCAAGGCTGTCAAATTGGATGTGGTAATTGCAGCAAATGCTTTGGAATTTTTTTTTTTAAAGTTGCACAGCCAAACAGGTTCTGTGAGAATTATTTAGAGCCTTTGCATGTATATAAGAATGATATTTCTATGATATTGCTATTTCATTACTAGCACTTAACAAGAAAATGATGCAATTGCTCAGGCTGGAGATACGGATGCAACTGCTCACAAAAGATACGGATGCAATTGCTCAGGCTCTTCTGGTGGGAATCATCTTCCATCACCTAATACTTTGTCAGAAGAAGACTTGAGTATATGATCAATTTAATATGTTGTTATTTAGTGATTGATACACATGCATATTGTGATACTCCTAATTTCGAAACACGAGTTGATCAAGTTCGCGCACAAATTCAAGGAATATCAAAAAAACAATTTAAGTATTTAACAAGCACAGAGTACAAAAAAAAATAATTAAATAAAGAATAAATAACTAGCTGAAGGGAATCTATTAAATAAAAGTTTCATTAATAATTTTTCAAAGTTTACAACTCGGGAATCCTGTAACTCAAGGACCCCTAAACCAAAATCCACTATCTATTAATCCATTAATACTTACGGAAGTGATAATATCCTATATTGAAATAAAATAGAAAGAATAGATAAGACCTCCAGTTGCAGATCCTCAACCTTGAGACTTGAACTTCTAATAACTTGAAAAATAAATCATGAGTTAAACCCTACGAGGAAGTTTACTCTACCAGACCTCTGAAAACCAATAAGCAGATCATCTCTGATCAAAGCCAAACCTAATAAAGTTTTAACTTTAATATAGCATGATATACATATATATAAATAATTATATACAATATAACCTTCCTTTCCATTAATAGTTTTATTAATTTTCGAAACATTAAATCATGGTTAAACATAATCACACCCAAACCAACTCAAAACTCTTCCTTTATTAAAGAGAAACCCCTTTAACCTACATTCCATTTTAAATAATTATTTAAATAATAAAATATAATTCAAAGAAAACTATATTTATTCCAAAAGTCAATAGTGAATTTAAATCATATAAATCATATTTCCAAAATCTAAACTTTGACAAATCATCCATGTCTTCACCAGTATTGTTTTATTAGTATGTTTAAAATAATACACTAACTTGTAAGCAGTAGACTATTCTAATTTAAGACTATTTAATCTTAATTCAATCTATATATACAATAACCATAGATAATATTTTAATCATCTAACACATAGCAATTTAATTATGCGTTGACAAATCAACCATGCCATTATAAATACTTTCATTCATATATTGGCAACTCAACCATGCCTCCTTAAGTATATTTATTTATACTTTAGCAATTCAACCATGCCTCCATAAGTATATTTATTTATATATTGGCAATTCAACCATGCCTCCATATATGTATATTTATAGATTAACAATTCAACCATGCCTCCACAGACATATATATTTATATTTTTAAATTAGTAACTCATCCATATTTCCTATGTATGTATTTTATTCATACGAATATTTAGGCATTATATTTACACCTATGGCAACTCATTCATGCCTACAATTCAACCATGTACCAACTTTAGACTCAATAATAGTTAATTCATACATAAACATCTCATGCAGATTATAATTATATCACAAATACTAACCATCAAATCCAGATATATCAAATAAGAATAATAATAATAATCATCTTAATTGATATATATATATACATACACATATATTATATAATATATAAATATGTATAATACCATCCATAATAATCCTTGATTATTTTAAATATATATATATATATATATATATATATGTATATACATATACTTCCTTCCATAACAATATATTAATTGAATTATATTTATGCAATTTAAATGCTACGAAATATCGTCAGATAAAGTTTCCCATAAACACTCCATCTCGGTAAATAATTTTCTTACATCGTCTCACTAAAACATAAATATCTCCTACTATGATGAGAATCTGATAATGAAATTGATACCATTGGAAAGAGGACGAAAAATCCTTGAATTTGAGCTCAAGAATGACCCAATTTCGATTTAAAATAATTAAGTTATGACCTTTTAAATTTTGAGTAACAAAACAAGAATAATAATAGGTTGAGCTCAATGGTTACTGTGAGCGCGCCCACACTGGATTATATCATTGAGCTCACACAAATGCACCACACCAGATTAGCTCACTTGAGCTCACATGTATGCATCCACACCTAATTATCTCACCGAAGCTCACATGTATACACCCACACCAGATTATCTCACATGAGCTCATATGTACCCATCCACACCAGATCAACTACCCATTAATCAAGACCCATCAGAGGCCAGATTCCATGTGCACCGTGATAGCATGCGCCGCATCACACCGGATTACTAACCTATTCTTTCCGCTAGAGAACCTCATATTTGTATAAATATATATATATATATATATATATATATATATATATATTTTGCCCAGAATATATATAAATAATTCTAAATAATTCCAAAAAAATATAAAACAACTCTAAATTTTTTAAAAAAATTACAGAAAATTCTCAAAAAATTCTATAAATCCTAAATAATTCTCTTGGGTCAAAGATCAAACATAAACAGTTGATATTAAATATATACAACCTATATACATAATTAAAATCCTACAATTCCAAAAAAATAAAAATAATAATCAATCATGCTTTTAATACTTCAATTTAATCATGATTTAACCAAATAAAATTAACTTAATATTTTTGTTATTAACTCCTTTCTAACCATGATTTAAATTAACAATTTAATAAAATTAAAGCTTTGATACTCAAGGTGAAATCCTTATGGGTTCTAAGAGGAAAGATGGAGAAAACTCGTCTGAAGGTTTCAAAACAAAACCGAAACTTTAAGCCTTGATTGTCTCTTCCAAATCCGATGTCCTCTTTCTATAATCCGGCCTCCTCTTTGTCGGCCTTCTCATTTTCTCTCTCTCTCTTATTTTTTTTTAACGTGTAAACTTTTAACCCTAAAGTCTTATGCGTATATTTATACACATTAGAATCCAAATCCTATTCTTACTAGGACTTTCAAATAAAATAATAATTCTTAAATAATATATATCTATAAACACATATTATATTACAAATATATATATATACCTTCCATAATTAATTCATGGGTTAATTAAATCATATAGACCTATATATATACATAAATATATATATCTTTCCATAACAATTATTAATTAATTATATTTATATATAATTATATATATTTATAATTAATACAAAAATGATCATTTAAATAATTAAATAATCATGCGCCTTTATTAATTAACCCAATAAGACTTCATACAAGCCCAATACCACATCTTTTGGTCCAACTTCTCTTAATCCCAAATCTAATTAATTTAAATAAATCAAATAATTAAATAGACACTTAAATAATAAAAACTAAAAACTAATTACACTAAGCACATAAACAAAATAATAAATTACAACCAAGTTACACCATACCAATAAAATTAACACGCCAACAATTCAATCAATAATTAAGCGCGCACACAACAATCATTATAGCAATAATTCACGAAATATAAATAAAATAAAACAATTAATCTAAGCACTCAATAAAATAAATCAATTAAAAATTAAAATAAACGTAATTAATTCAAATTAAATCAAATATATCATTACAAATAAAATAAAAGTAATTAATTCTAATTAATAAATCTTTTAAAATATCGGGATATTACACATATACGGGGATATATTAGGAAAATCAACTCACTCAAAATGATGGAACTTAACACCGAACTATAAATGAAATTTGAAAAACAGAAGAATTTCACTCCGACATGCATTACGTGGCATGTGTAGCACAACCTCTTTGCAAATGGATATTTCCTCCACTCAATTTACATCTAACTTCCTCCACTCAAAGTAACACATGGAGTTTCTTGGTTACAAAGGAGTCCTTTGTATATTTATAAGCATGTTTTAGATATTTATAATTCTGCACATTTTTATAATTTACAAGTCCTTTGTATATTTATAAGCATGTTTTAGATATTTATAATTCTGCACAGTTTTATAATTTACAAGTCCTCTCATAACCATTCTGAAAACTAAAAGAATTTCATTCTAATGTATTTTAGGAGAGAATATTGGGTACCCCAAGGTTACCCCGTCAGCATGCCAACATGCTATCCCCATCCAATAAAAGCATGACACTTTTCCAACTTTCCACGTCAGCTCATAACATAAAGTTAACTATCAAAAAGTTAACTCCGTCTCCTTTCACTTCCAGCAAACACAAACACCATCAAAATTTATTTTGTTATCCCGCGAAACCCAAATTCTTCTTTCACATAATCCCGCCTAAATTGTTGCAATCTTTTTCTCATTTTCTTTTTTTGGAAACAATATTATCTCCAAACCTCTAACTCACTTTCTTTAAGACCAAATTATATTTGCATCTGTCTCTTTCTACCAAAAGCCTTCAGTCACCGAACTGTACAAAATCTTCCAAAAAAGCTTCCACTGATCTTTTGGAGTGCAAAGGTAAGTCAATTCCCTTTTTTTATGTGTCAATTTGCACATCTTTTCTCATTTTCCTTTTTTGGAAACAATGTTATCTCCAAACCCCACTTCCTTTAAAAACAAATTATATCTTCATCTATCTCTTTATACCAGAGGTTGTCAATCACAGAATTGTACTATATCTTCCAAGATCTTCCAAAGAATATTAAAGTTTCCATAAATCTTCTGGAGTTCACAGGTAAGTCAATTCCCTTTTTTATGTGTCATTTTCTTATTGAATAGAATACCACCCTTAATGATGTTTTATATTTTTCATATCATTTGACAATAACAAAAAGATTACACGACCTATAATCTTCTACAAATAGATACTAAAATGGTTGATTGTTGTATAAATTGCAATCAAACAAAATGAACCTCTACGCCCAAATCTCAACAAAATGACTGGAACCAACCCACATCATCTAGTCTCACAATTAGATTCATCTGTGATTCTATATGTGTTAAATTTCTGTTTCACATTGGAATCAGTTGTGATATTCATTATTTAATAAGTTATATATAATTTATCTGATAATTATTGGAATCTTGTGTAAACCGAAATCCGGATAATGTCATTAGGAACATTGGATTTGACCTTTACTTGGGTTTTCGTTCAGTAACTGTAGGTTAATATAGCCAAAATGTTCCTATTGTATTTCGTTCTTGCATTTGGTATCTATAGCTTTTGGTGACTTCAACCATTGGCTCCACTAAACAGACAATCTCTGGATTATTATCCTTACATAAATGATTAAGAGAATAGAGTATAAGAGTTCGATGCGGTTTTGGCTCTAATTGAATAGAAGGCAACTTTTTTTTTTTCTTTTTCAGCTTCTTCTTTTTGAGACTTCAACAACACTAGAGTAGAAAACTCATTGTTGTTCTCATCCGAAACATCTCCTCAACCACCAGTAAGAACCTAGACATATAATTTTAACAAATTCACAATCAGTGTATAATAAAGAAAAAATAAAGTACAAGTATTATGTTTGTAACATTATTTTTCGTTGGTTTATAATGTATTTGGTTTACAGGTGTGTTATCATACCTAATTTATTAAATGGAATCTTTGGATGATGATATTGATGATCTTAAAATTGGAATGAGGGTTTCTAGTGAAAATGAAGCATATAAGTTATATTGTAAGTATGCCCTGCGAAAGGGTTTTGGTGTTCGAAAAGGAAACTTTCGGTATACTAGTGGTGGAGTTATTAAACAACGGGAGTTCTTATGTGCAAATGCAGGACAATATCGCGATGGTGATCCTTTTAATCCGAAAAAAATAAGAAGACTAGTGACCCGAACAGGTTGTAAAGCTCTAATTAAATTTGTAATTGCAGAAGGAATTTGGGAAATTAGTTATATCAATGATGAACACAACCATAACTTTGTTGATCAAGAAGAAAGACAGTTTTTAAGAATAAGCAGAAACATAGATTCAGCTAGTGCAAGTGTTCTAAATTCTATGGTTGGTGCTGGGATAAAAGGGACAAAAGCTTACTCATATCTTTCGAAAGAAGTTGGTGGATCTGAAAATGTCGGGTTCACTTTAAGAGATTGTCAAAATTTTGTTAATGAGAAAAAGAAAAGTTTGATTCAAAGAGGAGATGCACAAAGCGTAATAAAACACTTTAAGCAATGTCGAGCTGAAGACCATATATTCTTTCACAGTGAGGAATTAGATGCAGAAGGTCGTTTGGCAAATTTTTTTTGGAGAGATGGAAGATCGAGATTAGACTATGACTATTTTGGGGATGTTGTTGTTTTTGATACCACGTATCGAACAAACAGATATGATATGATTTTTGCTCCATTCGTAGGAGTTAATCATCATAGGAAGAATATTTTATTTGGTTGTGCATTTCTTGTAGATGAGACCACAGATTCTTTTGTTTGGTTGTTCGAGGAATTTTTAGAGGCGATGGATAACAAGGCACCCAAGACAATATTTACTGATCAATGTCAAGCAATGGCAAATGCCATTAAAAAAGTTTTTCCAAACACTTGTCATCGTCTTTGTTCATGGCATATTTCAAAAAATGCCACTCAAAAGCTTGGGACCTTGTATGGAAATTACGAGTTCAAAACTTTGTTTCAGAAGTGTCTACATTCTGAAGCAATAGATGATTTTGAATCAACATGGAGTCTAATGATAACGAAGTTTGGCATTGCGGACAACAAATGGCTTAAGTCACTTTATGGACTTAGAGAGAAGTGGTGTCCGGCGTTTAGTCTTGACACTTTCACTCTCCGTGCTAAATCAACTCAAAGAAGTGAGAGTATGAACAATGTTTTGCAAAAGATGTCCTCTAAAGCTATGACTTTAATGGAATTTGTGCAACATTATGAAGAACAATGTGAGAAGATGCGGTTAGCTGAAGCTAATGAAGATTATCGTAGTAAGCATGGCATAATACAAATGAAAGCGAAGGATTCCAAAATGCTGAAACAAGCAACTTGTGTTTACACAAATAATATTTATTACTTATTTGAAGATGAGGTGCTTTCTAGTTTGGCAGTGAAATTGGAGTTGTTATCAAATCTACAATCTTCATTTATCGTGCTTTTGTGGGAGGTGATAAGCATTACATTATAAATTTTGATTCATCTAATTTTAATGTAGTGTGTTCTTGTAAGTTGTTTGAGTCTACTGGGTGGTTGTGTCGGCATGCACTGAAGGTTTTCAATTTATGGAATATTCATGATATACCATCTCAATATATTCTAGAAAGATGGACAAAGTATGTGAAATCTAAACAGCCTCCATTTGAAGTTGGTGGGTCGTCTAGAAATAAGAAATCATCTTTGACTCTAGAAAGAAGCATCTTACTTCAGCAATCTTATCGCGCTATCAATCACTTGGTTATGACCGCTGAGGGAAAAAGTTTGGCCAAGAAACATGTGCAATTAATGTGGGAGGATGCACAAAAACTTATGGAAACCTTCAATCCAAATAAAGAAAATGACAATACTTCTAGTGATCTCACGAAGATTGGTGGACATTTAGAGGAAATGATTGTGCTGGATCCTTCACATGTGAAAGCAAAAGGAGTAACGAATGCTCGAATAAAAAGCTATTTGGAGAAAAGGAAACGTAGGCAAAAAAAAGGTAATAAAACACTTTATTCAATTTTAGTTTACTGTCAAGTCAATAGATGTACAATTATACATTTTAATTCTGACTTGCAGGGCAACCATTACACAACACTTATAATGTGCCCAGTGCTCCAGTGCTTTCTCTCCCACCTGTTCATGCTCCAACTCTTCATTCATTTGGGCAACAACTACATACAAACATTTTCAATCCTGGTGTTATTCATACGTCACTCCAATGCGAGCAACAAGTCAGGTATTATTCAACATATGATTGTTATCACTTATATGATTTTTTTGGATGAGTAACATAATTTTATTGTTACATGCTTATAGGAATGATCTTGATGCAAGCAAGTGATTTGCAGAGGTTGTGGAGCAGCCAAGACCGGAAGAGGATATTTTGAATGTTAATGTCATTTGTTGTTGAGAAGAGGATTTTTGTAATAGCAAGTTGTTTCCAGTATAAACATGTTGTTAATTATAATAGCAGGACTTAAAATTTCAGTGTAAACAGTGTTAAGTATAGGAATGTAATGTCTTTTAAGTTTTCATGCTCTGTTGATATCAATCATTGAGGATTTGGGACACACCATGGTTTTGCACAACTTAAATCACAAAAAAATTTAGTTGTGTTTATAAAAAAATCCAACAATTTTAAGTACAACACCAGGACTTCTGTTGCAGATTTGTTGCATTCTTCTTCTGTTGTTGTTTCACTTTGCTAGTGTTGGGTGGTGTCTTGTGAGAGCTGAGGGTTTTTGAATTGGTTCAATTTATTTGAGAAGCTTGGATTTATTGTGGAGTATGCAGTATTTTTTTTTTTCTTCTGTTTTCTGCACTCTGTGTTTGTGCCTTGTGTAGGCTGTGTTTTACTGCTTTAGGGATGTATTCTATAGGTTCTTAAATAGTTCTACAACACTGTTTAATTTTTGTTGAGGAAAGGATTTTTGTAATAGGAGGTTGTTAATAGGTTGTTAATTACAATTGCAGGACTTAAATTTTTAGTGTAAACAGTGTTGTTAAGTATAGAAATGTAATGTCTCATGCTCTATTAATATCAATCATTGAGGATCTGGGACACACTATGGTTTTGCAGAACTTAAATCACAACAAAATTTAGTTGTGTTTATAAAAAAATCCAACTATTTTAAGTATAACATCAGGGCTAACAATTTTAAGAAAATCAAACAAGATTAGCCTCATATAAAATGAAATAATATAATACAGGGGAGATCCGAGGGCATACCCTCGCCTGAGAAACATAGAAGGCAAAGAAAGAAACCAACAATGAGGATACCTTTGCCAAAACACAACACACTATGAGAACCTTTAGAATACATTCATAAAGTAGTAAAACACAGCCTACGCAAGGCACAAACACAGAGTGCAGGGAAAAAAAAAAAAAAACTTCACATTCCACAATAAATCCAAGCTTCCCAAAGAGATTGAACCAATTCAAAAACCCCCGGCTATCACAAGACACCACCCCACACCAGCAATGCATTCACAAGGCAGATAGACCCCAAAAATGAAGCAACAACAGATGGGCAAAGAACCCATTCTCCAAAAGCAAACCAAATGCCCATCTCCATCAAAAGCAAAATCACAGCCACATAGAAATTCAGAGAGCGCACAAGGCAACATAAACCACAGAAGAAGAGTGCAGCAAATCCGCAACAGATTGGCATTGAACCAAAGCCAAGAACGACCATACTATCCAAGCAAAAATATAAACACCGATAGGCACAGACCCATTCTCCTATAAGCATACCAAATATAGTCTCAATCATACTATCCAAGCAAGAACGCGACTGCAGCGGCAAAGAATCATACTAAACAATCAACCTCTTAACTATACATCAGAAAACCATCCTGCTGCTAATACCCATGATATCCAAATTTCCCAAAGCCCACCAATAAAACGCATGAACTGTGGGCAAACCTCAATTATGTGAATACTGACATGCATTTACTTATGTTTTCAGTGATCAATTATGTCAATATATAGTAATTTTCAGAAATTAAAAAAAAAAAAAAAAATGTTCGTAAATTAAAGTTAAAAAAAAAAAATAAAAATAATAAATAATAAATATGAACGCTATCTGGAAGAAAAAAATATTTGTGTAAGACTGATCATCAGATCCTGCAATTAAACACGCGAGATGGTAACAAAAGGTGCTGCTGCAATGTTTACATATCTGTTGAAATCCCAATATTCTTAGACCGCAATCCGCTATGAAAGAACCAGAAAATGAACACATTGACCTTTCGAATCAGCTTTTTCAATCATTACTGGACTCGATACAACACACAGAACTTCAGAGGCAAGTGGTCTCTGATCAAAACACAACTCGCCGATCTCAAGACTCAACTCGCCGACCTCGCCGACCTCGCCGACTCACCTCCCAACTCTCTCTCTAGAACTGTTCTATTCTGTCTCCGATACTCTCTCCGACGCACTTTCCCTCTCTAAAGCCTGTCGAAATTAGACCCTCCTCGGCGGCAAGCTTAAGACGCAGAACGACGTCGATTCGGTCTCGGTGAAGCTGGACCGGCAGATCAGAGACTTCGGCGTTTTGATCAAGAGCGGGGTGCTACACGACGACGCCGTTCTGAGGTCGTCGAAGAGGGAGTCCGATCGAGTCGAGGCTCGGAACTTGATAACTCGGTTGCAGATTGGGAGTCGTTCTGAGGTCGTCGTCGACGTTGAAGAAGGAGTCCGTACGAGTCGAGGCTCGGAAGTTGATAACTCGATTACAGATTGGGAGCACCGAGTCGAAGAACTCGGCGTTGGACTCACTGCTGGGGTTGATTCAGGAGGACGACAAGAATGTGTTGATTGCGATGGCGCAGGGGATCATCCCGGTGGTCGTCGAGCTCGACGCCGGAGGTCAAAGAGAATACGTCACGGCCGTCGCTAGGGTCTCGATTGTAGATTCGAGCAAACACGTTATGATCTAGTTAGGGCAACGAGGAGAGAGAGAAAGTGGAATGGATTTCAATGTTTATTTTGAAATTTGAAATTTGAAATAAGTTTTTTTTTTTTTTTTTTAACAAAAGAAAATAGACGGAGTTAACTTTTTCTCCGTTAAGAGCTGACGTGGAAAGTTGGAAAAGTGTCATGCTTTTATTGGACGGGGATAGCATGTTGGCATGCTGACGGGGTAACCTTGGGGTACCCAATATTCACTCGTATTTTAGAACGGTTGCGTGTCGCGTGGCATATGTGGCACAACCCATGCCACAACCTCTTTGCAAATGGACACAGTGTAACTGTAACCACCGCTTCAAGGACCCAACTAAAATTTATTGAGATCCCTAGCAATTCCAACGCTATTGTGAGGACCCAACTAAAAATTATATTGAAAATAAATAATTAAAATATTTTATGAAATTCATAGAAATAAATATGAGAAAATTTAAAATTAACTAACAAAAGATCAATGCTAGGATTTAGTCTTGTACGAAAGAGAGGATAGGAAGATCTTTCTTGAGTTCTATGTTTAAGATTTCTTTTTTCCTTTTTATTTATAAGAAATTCATATATTCATGTGTTCTTAACAGAAATACTCACATTATATTGAGAGGTAGAGGAGATATCATTAAGTCACATCCTTCTCTATCTTTTTTTTTTAAGTAAATCTACCGCCTATATATATATATACACACACACTACTAAAAGACATGTGTGATGCACGTGTTGAATGTTTTGTAACTTATCGATATATTAGATCGCTCATTTTTAAATTGTTTATAGTTTTCGTTGTATGATATTGTTAGATATTAATAAATATTTTTTATATTAATAAATAAATACTAAAATATTTTGAAATTGACAGTAGAGTTGGAGTTTTGTAAAAAATAAATTTTTTTAGGTTTTTATATTAATACTGAAATATTTATATTATATTTTTTTATTAATTAAGAAATTTTTTTATTTTAATACTGAAATTGGTGGTAGAGTTTGAATTTTGAAATTAATAAATTCTTCTAGGTAATATTTAAAAAATTATATATATATAATAGTATAGATTTGAATTTTATTAGGTAATTTGAAATTTATTATAATTTTAAATTTACAATAGAAATTCAATTATAATAATTTTTAATTAAATTTTAAATTACAAATTCACAAATACTAATCATGCATTAGATTGAAATTGAGATAAAAATTTATTATATGAAGTTTGTGGTTTTTTGGAAGACCCTAAGTTGTATTTTATTTTCTTTAAATATATCTTTGTCTAATGTGATGGACTTTTATAGAAAATAAAATAGGTAATTTGTGGTAGAGTTATTTTATTTTCTTTAAATATATCCTTATTTAATTAGATTTCCTTTTATTAAAAAACTCATAATAAATAGATAAATACATGTCATATGTGATAGAGTTTTAAATAAAATAAAATAGATAATATGTGGTACAGTACGTTCTATAGAAATTATTTTATTTTCTTTAAATATATTCATAATAAATAGATAAATACAGGTTATATGTGATAGAGTTTTAAAGAAAATAAAATAGGTAATTTGTGGTAGAGTTTTATAGAAATTATTTTATTTTTTTTAAAAAATATTCAGAATAAATAGATAAATACAGGTTATATGTGATAAAGTTTTATTAAAAATAAAAGAGCTATTTGTGGTAGAGTTTTAAGGAAATTATTTATTTTTTATATTAATAATTCTTGTCTAACTAGATTTTTCTTTACTAAAAAACTCATAATAAATAGATAAATAGGATAAAAAAAATTCCCTAGTTGGTACTCATACACACTTGTCTGTTCCGAAACTTGAACCCTGACCTCCCTTTGGAAAGTAAGAAGCTGATACCACTAGGTCACTGGCCCGTTAGTAGACAAATAGGTAATTTGTGTTAGAACTTTATAGAAACTCTTTTAAAAACTCTTTTTATATAAATTAATAAATATTTTATTTATATTAATAATTCTTGTCTAATTAGATTTCTTTATATTAAAAAATTCATAATGAATAGATAAGTAGGTAATTTGTGTTAGAGTTTTATAGAAACTCTTCTAAAAACTCTTTTATATTAATTAATAAATATTTTTTCAGGTTATATGTGATAGAGTTTTAAGGAAAATAAAATAGGTAATTTGTGGTTGAGTTTTAAATATATTCTTTTTTAATTAGATATCATTTTATTTAAAAAAAACTCATAATAAATAGATAAATAGGTAATATATGTTAGAGTTTTATAGAAACTCTTTTAAAAATCTTTTTATATTAATTCATAAATATTTTTTTGTACTAATAATTTTTGTCTAATTAGATTTTCTTTTATTAAAAAAACTCATAATAAAAAGTAATTTGTGGTAGAGTTTTAGATAAATTATTTTATTTTTATATCAATTAATAAATATTTTTTATATTAATAATTATTGTCTAATTAGACTTTATTAGGTAATCTGTAATTTGAATTTTATTAGGTAATATTTAAAAACTTATTTATATATATAATAGTATAGATTTGAATTTTATTAGGTAATTTGAAATTTAGTATAATTTGAAATTTACAAATATAATAATTTTTAATTAAATTTTAAAATATAAATTCAATTATACTAATCATGCATTAGATTAAAATTGATATAAAAATTTATTATATGAAGTGTATGATTTTTTGGAAGACGTACCCTATATTATATTTTATTTTCTTTAAATATATCCTTATTTAATGTGATAAAGTTTTATAGAATATAAAATAGGTAATTTGTGGTAGAGTTTTATAGAAATTATTTTATTTTCTTTAAATATATTCTTGTCTAATTATATTTTTTTTTATTAAAAAACTTATAATAAATAGATAAATATAGGTTGTATGTGATAGAGTTTTAAAGAAAATAAAATAGGTAATTTGTGGTAAAGTTTTACAGAAATTATTTTATTTTCTTAAAATATATTAGAATAAATAGATAAATATAGGTTATATGTGATAGAGTTTTATAGAAAATAAAATAGCTATTTGTGGTAGAGTTTTGGGGAAATTATTTTATTTTTTATATTAATAATTCTTGTCTAATTAGATTTTCTTTTACTAAAAAAGTCATAATAAATAGATAAATATGTAATTTGTGTTAGAGTTTAATAAATATTTTATTTTAATTTTATTAAATAATAATTTTTAGAGCAAAAAAATACTTATATATAAAGAGAGTATAGATTTTTTTAGAAACAACAAATAGATAAAATTGGTAATTTGAATTTTATTAGGTAGTAGTTTTTAGAGTTTTATAGAAACTCTTTTTTTTAGAGTTTCTATAATTTGAAATATGTTTCATGTTAGAGTATTTATAAATATTTTATTTGAATTTTATTAGGTAATAATTTTTAAAGTTTCTATAATTTGAAATATATTTCGGGTTAGAGTTTTAATAAATATTTTATTTGAATTTTATTAGATAGTAATTTTTATACTTTATTAGGTAATAATTTTTAGAGTTTTTATAATTTGAAATATATTTGGTGTTAGAGTTTTGATAAATATTTTGTTTGAATTTTATTAGGTAATAATTTTTAGCCAAAAAAAATTAGTACTATACTTAGCCAAAAGGCTGAGAAAAGTGTGATTAATATTTCTTTTGGTTTATAATTTTATAAGAGACTTTCATATAATTATTTATAACTTAAAACCGATATGGGACATTAAAATTCAACTTGATCTTAACCAAAAGGCCGAGAAAGGTGCTTTTATAACTCAAAATCGATGTGGCACAAAGTAGCAAGTTACTCTAGTTGACCCAATCCAAAAAAATTTAGTACTACATTTGATCTTAGCCAAAAGGTCGAGAAATGTGTGATTAATATTTCTTTAGGTTTATAGTTTTTTAAGAGGTTTTCATATAATCATTAACTCAAAACCGATGTGGGACAATAAAATTCAACTTAATCTTAGCCAAAAGGCCGAGAAATGTGCCTTTATAACTCAAAACCAACGTGGGACAAAGTAGCAAGCTATCTAGTTTACCCAACCAAAAAAAATTTAGTACTACACTTGATCTTAGCCAAAAAGCCAAGAAATGTGTGATTAATATTTCTTTATGTTTATAGTTTTATAAGAGGCTTCCATATAATCCTTTATAACTGAAAACCGATATGGGACAATAAAATTCAACTTGATCTTAACCAAAAGGCTGAGAAAGGTGTGATTAATATTTCTTTAGGTCTATAGTTTTATAAGAGACTTTTATGTAATCCTTTATAATTCAAAACTGATGTAGGACAAGAAAAATAAATTTTATTAGGTAATTTGTAATTTGAATTAAACTCTTTAAATAAATTTTAAGTAATTTTTTTTAGGTAGTTTTTTTCAATATTAATAAGTAAATATTGAAATAATGCAATTCTTTGCACATTTAATAATAGTATAGATATAGATAGATATATCATAAATGTTAATACATGATTTAGACACACATGTGCAAACACATAAATTCACAAGGGATTTCAGACTTCTAATTGAGATTTGATTACGAGTATATGAGAAACTAGGGAGTACGGATACATATACGATATGATACTATATGATCAAGGTCGGACCTAAGATTGACAAAATTTTGAGAGGCCTTAGACGAAGTTAAATATGAGGTCCTTTATACACAAGCATTCACACGGGTAAAAACTTTATAAGAATGCGGAATTTTTATTAAAATAAAAGGATAATCACATAAAATATATTAATGTTGAAAACACAAAATACAAATTACCGTCTATTAATTTCTCTCAAATTTTACATTTGCTATCTCTCATAATAAAGTAAAAAATATATATTTTCTTAAGAAATGTTTAGTTCACTCCCCACAGGATAGATGAGCTAAAGAGTTAGAATGATATCACGTTAATTTAAACTCCAAAAAAAATTTAAAATTTTCAAATGGATCGAGTTTAGAACTTTCAACCC